CCCCTCCCCCGCCCTTTCTCACATCCGCCGCCGTCCACCGCCCCCTTCTTCTTGTGTATCTGGGGCGACCCGGGGCCGGCGATGGCTCGCATGCTGATTCTCCGAGGAGAAACAACCCGCAGCAGAACGGGAACTTTCCCTTTTTTTGTTATCTCAGTATTCTGATGTTTTGTTTAAAAATAAAGAAACTTTATACATTACAATTTAATACAGCTAATACAACCTAAAATGGGATCATCGTGCAGTTACAGCCGACATATAAAAGTCTAAAAGTATGTTTATTGTTTGCTGATACGCTATTGTTTGTTATTACGTTTGACACTGGATTTCATACGCACTGCTTAACTTAGCTGGATCGAGAAGATCGTGGTTGCGAGGGTTACATGTTCTTTCATAGAGGAAGTTACGAGAAGGAAATATGAAAATACAAACCGCGTCAAGTTAATTAATAATAAGTAAATCTAATAAATAAGTAATCTGTTTCATTAAAATAGGTAAAAATAGAATAATTTGTGTACCACGAGAGTTCTAATGATCTCGGGCGGCGAAAAGTCTGCCAAAGACTCTCTGGCGTTTTATCGCCGCTCGATCATTAGACCTCTTATAACGCCTTTGGTGCATGAATAAGTATTATTAACGTTACTTCATAAAATGTTAATGATAAAACCATCAGGTAATGATATCTGAAGTAATTGTGCTAAGTAATTTCCAAAATTGAGGGTTCTTTACAAATGTGTTGTAAAGAAGAATGTGTTTAACATTATAAAACACGAAAATTACATAGTAAAAATAAGAAGGAAAATATTGTATAAAACTCTATTGCTAGAGTGAGCTCTCATATTTAGTAGAAGGTTTTGGAATGGTTTCTTTTCTTAACGATAAATGGCAGAGGAAGAACATTTCCTTATAAACTTTGTGATTTTTCACTCTAGAATTCTCAGTCCATAGTGACATAAATTTCAATACTTCACCGGAGTCTTTGGGTATATTTTTGAAATGTGATGGTTGGCTTATGTCAGGTAATAATTCATTTACATCTTCTTCGTCTTAACAATTAACATTTTTGAAACATTGAAATTCCTCCTTTACAACTTCTATATATTATCAACTACATGACTTAATAAATACTTGAACGAAAATCATATGTTCATTGCAAAATAACTGCGTTTCCTCAAAAGTTAAAATATTTTCCTTCATCTCTTACAATCGCGATTTCAAAAATGTAAATACACCTAAAAGTATCTACTTACAAATACATTGTACAGACGCACTGTGTGCAAGGGCACTTGCTTGTACATACAACACTCATAGAATACTCATACACTCATAGGATATCACGATAGTGTAGTACAACTAAGAGACCGTGCAGGAAATAGTAAAATATTACTGAAGACTAAATCGATGGAAAGAGTCAAACATTTCACCTACTATGAAGTGAATTTTTTTTTATTCAGCAATAAAAATGCGAACAATGCAATTTTAGTTCTACATATCTTTCTACACGAATTAGAATCCAATAGTTCTGAAATAAATTGATTTGGAGTATATTACATCGAGACATTTTTTTCTATTACACAGTGCCAAAGTAATTGTTCTGAAGTAAATTTAGACGAGACCTTTATAGCCGCTGGTTAAAAATTCTGTAGTTAAGAAAACTGCTACGCAATTAATTATATTGTAAGTAGAACGGAATGAGATTTAAATAGCTTAATCTTTACTTTTTAGACATCAGTGAAGTTCTTTCTGATTTTAAACTCATTTAAAAAAATGCTTTCTTGAATAATTTTTGTATTTTCAGATGCAATATTTTATCAACTTACCTTTCTGTATATTACATACGCTCGTTTTCATTAATTTAAATTGCCTTTGCACAACCTTTGACCTTTTTAAATAAACGAAATGAATTTACTAAAATTCGCCAACGATTCCAAGCGCTTCTTTAAAACGAAGATGAAATAAGTACCAACTTAGTGATAAAAAACAGTTCAGTTTAACTCTGTTGCGTTGAACATTTTGATCCGCTTCGACGAAGAGGGATTTCGCCAGAAGCGTTTCCCCAACAGCTCTACTGTGGCGCACTCTTTATGCTGAGCTGCCTCCACCGCCGCCGCCGCCGCCAGGGTTCGCCATCCATCTTCATCGCAGCGCCCCTGCGGAAGGACACGGACGCGTTTTCATTTCGGGACAATGTCGGCCGCAGGGCGCTACAAGCCGCCCCCGCGCCATCGACCTCCGCCTCCTTCCACCCCCGCCGCCACTCAGCCCTTCCCCCGGCCACTGACCCCACTGCCACTAAGCCCGGCGACTTCACGCCACCCTCGTGGTGAACCCCTTCGGCCCCTACCACGACCCTCCGACACTCCTAAGGTCTCGCCTTCACGACATCCCTGCCACGTCACGGCGGCG